AGAGGGGAGGGGAGGGGAGGGGGGATAGTAGAAGATAGGAAAGGCAGCAGAATACAACAGACACTAGTATGGCAATATGTAAATCAATGGAAGTGTAACTGATGTGATTCTGCAATCTGTATACAGGGTAAAAATGGGAGTTCATAACCCACTTGAATCAAAGTGTGAAATATGATAAATCAAGAACTATGTAATGTTTTGAACAACCAACAATAAAAAAAAAGAATATTTATAATTCTTTGTCATGACTCTTTTAAAACAACTACATAAACATATTGAAGTGACTCTTCAATGGTTTCTTTTTATAACTTTCAATGAGAGATGAATGGAAAGCAACATGTATGAAATGTTCTGCAAAAAGAAAATAAGGTGGTAATCACTAATAAGTCATCATCATCATAATGAAATTGCATTTTTAATCTCAGACATAGTTTATAGAGTACACTTAGCCTAAGACCTAGTAGCAGCCAGGTATCTCTTTCATCTAACCAAACCTGTGTTGGAGTTGCCCCCAAAGTAGTTGCAGAACCAGGTGTGGTGGCATGTGCCCATAATCCTAGTGACTTGAGAGACTGAGGCAAGAGGATTGCAAGTTTCAGACCAGCCTCAGCAACTTTGACACTTTCTCAAAATAAAAAATAAAAAGACTGGAAATGTAGCTCTCTGGTAAAGTATCCCTGGTTCAATCAGTAGCAACAAAACAAAACAAAACAAAACAAAACAAAACAAAACAATGTAGTGTCAGAGGAGTTTCCCAAGGAGTATCCAGAGATAGGGCCAGTTGAGATTCTGAACTGAAAGAAAAAAGAAAGAAAGAAAGAAAGAAAAGCACTAAACTCCAGGGTGATAGGTCTAAAATATTTTTTTAGGAGAACTCACAAAGTACTGCAGCTTGTCCTCACAATGAACAATGACAGAAAAAGGATAGTCTACCTAGTTATATCCACAACAATGGGTCAAGGTGTAGAGTTTATATGAGTGTTTAAGGAATTTTGGCTCAGGGCCAGTTTCTTTCAGTGTGTTCAGGGCAACAACTTAAATACTTTTATTAGTGCTTGCAAGTACTTAAAGCTCTTGCTTAGGTTAAAGCTTACAGGGATAAAACTGTTACAAAGCAATCAAAGTGCTTTATGAGTTTTTGCTCAGAACATAGAAAGTAGGGGAAAATGGAGGATTGTACAGTACTTCAATAAATGATGGTTGTTTCTACTTGTAGCATTGCTGTATATTTGAAAATGAAGTTGATATGACACAGTTTAACATTCTAAAACTGTATTAATGTTCCTACAGATGAAAAAAAGTGAAGAATTGATAACTAAAAATCATAATCAAGAAGAAATAAGTATTCTTCGTTGTTGGAAATGTAGAAAATGTATAGCAAATTCTGATTGCTTCATGAATTATCTTGAAAATCAAGTGATTAAGGTGAGTATTGCTGACTTTAGTCTTTGAACATTTTCTAGTGTAGGAATGTTGTAAGCATAGCAGCAGACATACTATACTCTCTATATGGCATCCTTCATATTTCGTAGTTACAAATAGTTTTAGCATTAGCTGCTAATGTTAATGTGCCCTTGAAATTCCTTGAACTTCTCTTAGAGTAATATTAAAGAGGCAATACTAAATAGTTACAAACTAGGAAGTAATTTGTGGAGTTTACAGGGAATTCTAAATTCAAAAGAGCATGACTGTAATCACCTTTCCTGTTTTCTTCCCTCATTTAAGAGACACACTCAATTTTTTGTCTTCTTATTGTTTTATTTTTTGCCTCAACCATACTTGATCATGATTATTTCCTCTGTACTTTTAACAGATTAGCCAACCTGAATCTGATAATAGTAGATAACTTTGACTGCATACTTACTGTGTGCCACATACTTTTTAAAAATAACATTTTCACTGGATTAAAACCCCTCAAATTTTCACTCTATGTTACTCATCTTTTTCTTGCTGTGACAAAATACCTTAAAAAATCTTATCATCCTATGTTACTCATCTTTTTGTTGCTGTGACAAAATACTTTAAAAAAACATCTTAAAGGAAGAAAGATTTATTTGGACTTAAGGTTTTAGAGGTTTTAGACTTTGGTTAGTTGACTCCATTGCTTTGGGCCTGAAGCAAGGCATAACATCATGGTGGAAGAGCATGGTAGAAAAATGTTGTTCATCTAAGGGTAGTCAGGAAACTGAGAAGGAGAAAGAGGAAGGGGCCAGGGACAAGATTCTTCAAAGGCATACCCCAATGATATACTTCCTCCAACTTGACCCCACTTTCTAATAACCCATTCAGCTATTAACTTATTAATAGGTTGATCCATTGATGAGGTTAGTATTCTCATGATCCAACATCATTTCCCAACAGCACTGCCTCTGAATATTGCTACATTGGGGGTGAAGTCTTCAAAACATGAGTATGTGGGGGGTACTTATATATCCAAACCATATCACATGCTGAGATTATTTTATTGTATATAATTTACATAGAGCAAAACAATGTGCACAGCTTGATAAATTTCATCAGTTTGATATGAATCAGTTGAAGATATAAACATTTCTGTAATCCCATAAATTTGCCTGGCTCTTTTCCAGGCAGCACTCCCTCTTACAAGGTAGCTATTATTATCTATCACCATAGACTAGTTTTGCCTGTTCCTGCCCTTCAATTTAAATAGAATAATATAGTATGCTTCTTTTTTGTTGAGGAATGTCATTGGGATTTCAATTGGAATTGCATTAAATCTGTATTATGCTTTTGATGGTATTGCCATTTTGACAATAAAAATTTTTCCTATCCAAGAACATTGGAAATCCTTCCATCTTCTAAGGTCTTTTTCAATTTCTTTCTTTAGTGTTTTGTAGTTTTCATTGTAGAGGTCTTTCACCTTTTTTGTTAAGTTGATTCCTGAGTATTTAATTTTATTTTTTTGAGGCTATTGTGAATGGGGTAGTTTTCATAATTTCTCTCAGAGGATTTATCACTCATGTATAGAAATTTGTTTAATATATGGGTATTGATTTTGTATCCTGCTACTTTTCTGAATTAATTTATTAATTCCAGAAGTTCTCTGATGGCGTTTTTTGGATTCTCTAAGCATAGAATCATGTTGTGGGCAAACAGTGATAGTTTGAGTTCTTTTCCTGTACGTATCCCTTTAATTCCTTTTGTCTATTTAATTGATCTGGGTAGAGTTTCAAGAAATATATTGAATAGGAGTGGTGAAAGAGGGCATTCCTGTCTTGTTAATATCATGATTAAGTCTAGAGAAAGAAGTTTATAATTAGGAAGGACTGAGGGGGTGTCTAAAATAATGTTGATTTTCTTTTTGTAATTTTTTTGTGATGCTGGTGATTGAACCCAGTGCCTTAATGTATGCCAGGCTCTATCCATGGTCTCATTGTTGTATCTCTCTCTCTCTCTCTCTCTCTCTCTCTCTCTCTCGTTTTTTCCAATTGACATTTATTTTATTTATTGATATGTGGTGCTGAGAATCTAACTCAGTGCCTTACGCATACTAGGCAAGCACTCTGCCATTGAGCCACAACCCCAGCCCTCATTGTTGTATCTCTCAATCAGGTTGGCAGGTATTTGATTTGCTTTTCCTTAAGTCCTTCTATAAACTATAAAAATGTGTCTTATATTTTATAAGCATACATATTGTAAAAATATCAAAATGCACATAAAAAGATGTATTCTAATTATAGGAAATCACAAAATAAATTATTGTAATCTAAAAGTAAGTTTATCAGAGGTTCTGTTGAAAAGATACTAAATTAATGACCTAATTATTTACATTTATTACCTATTAAAGTATACACTTAATTAAATAATAAAATAAGTGTTTTATTTCTGAATTTTCTATAAATGGAGTCACACTGTGGATAGGTGTTCTTCTGGAACTTGCTGTTAACTCAGCATCACCATGTTGAAGTGTGGCTTTAGTTTACTTTCATGTTTGTATAGTATTCTAGGATATTATATATGTCACTTTATAATTAACTCTACTATTGGTAGACATTTGAATTACGTCTAGTTGTTTTGTGCTAAAATCCAGTGTTGCTTTGAGCTTTCTTGTATGTATCTTAGTATACATGACAGAGGTATATTATTAGAAGTGGAGTTGTGGTACCATAGGCCATATGCATGTTGAGCTTTACTAGGTTATATTAAAATGAGCTGTAAAGGAATATGGACATTTGAGCTTTAGCTTTCCAGCCACTGTCATGCAAGAAAACATGAGGGAATTTACAATGGAGTTTACAATTTTCATAGAGAGAAAAGGGGACTTCTACTCTGTCTTTAGACCTGAGTCATAAGATGTGTGGGGAAGAATCAAAAGCAAAAGCAAAATCACAGCAAAACTCCTAAAATAATTTAAAAATAAAATAATAGAAATTATCTCCATTTGTTCCATCTGTGGTGGTGCTCTCAGTTTTAGTTGTTATAGTTTGGACATGTCAAGTTAATGCGGCCTGTAGAACATTCAAATATGTTAGAAATAGGAAATAAGAGTGTAGATTTAGGAGTGAGTCCTCAGCATGTAGGTAGTGAGGGAAGCTGTGAAAGTAGGTGGAATCACCATTGCAATATGTGAATGGAGTGAGAGAAGAGAACCTAGAAACCTTTCTAGGATAGACAGAAAAATAGAAGATCACAAAGAAGGAAAAAGGAACCATGGACAAAAAATAGGATGCAGTTTCATAGAAGTCAAAGGAATGAACATCTTCCAGAAACACAGATTGGTTATTAGTGTTGAATGTTGTTGGGAGATCTAGAAGATAAGACACTGTCTTTCATGTGGATCCTAGAGAATGCTAGTCTATGAAATGTTTCCCCTACATTAATGCAGAGGTTGTGTACAAACTGTATAGCCATAAGAAAAAACTGAATGAGAATTAAAAGTGGTCATTGGTTTTAGAAATGAGATCATTAGTTAACGATTATTGTAGTTGTAAGAATAGTAGAGGCAAGAACCAAATTTCAATGAGATGAAGAAACTAATAACTGAGGAATAGTCCAGTGTTTACTGTAAGGCACTTTATATTATTGGGTTATGACTCTTTTTCATCACTAGGCTATGAAGTACTTCATCCTTATAATACCATGATAATGCAGTGGCTGTCATGAATATGATCAAAGAATATTGAATTGATTATAAAATTATATACCTCCTTTTTAGGTAATTTGCTAATTTTCTCCTTGGCTTTATTATTCTGGTGGCTTTATTATTCTTTTCTTCATTGGCTATAATCTCAAAATAAATATTTCAATGCTATTACATTTTTAATATTTTGTGTTTACTAGTTTCATAGTTAGTCTTGTGACATGCAATGGACTGAATTTTATTCCCCTACTAATGCATATGTTGAACTACAACACAGTTGTATTTAGATATAGGGTTTTTAGGAGATAATTAAGGTTAAATGAGTGATAAAGATGAGGCTGTAATCCAATAATACTTGTGGCCTTATAAGAAGAAGCCAAGAGAAAGATCATATGAGGATACAATGAGAAGGTAGCTATCAGTAAGATAGAAAGAACCTGGATATGCTGGTGCTCTGATTGTGGAGTTAGCCTCTAGAACAGTGAAAAAGTAAATTTCTATTGTTTAAGTTCTTCAGTCTGTGGGATTTTATTATGGTAGCCCAAGCAGACTACAACACCATGTGTCCTGTTATAGGCATAGGAAGTTCAGAGATGAGCAAAAGAGAAATTATCTGTCCTTGTGAAGTTTTCAGTTTACATAGAATTTAATATTAATATTATATTAATATATTAACATACATATAACCCCATTAATAATTAATTAATGGGGTTATATGTATATGTCTTATTAATACTTAATATTAAGTTTCTGATTTAATGTTGAAAGCTTAATATTTATAATATTAAGTAATCATATAATTATATCTGTTGTTCATATAAATATTAGATATTGGTCAATCACATAAGTTACTAGCTGAGTAAATGGCATAAAGAAAAGCCTAGAGAACCATATGAATGGGATATAGCCAGGATGCTGGGTCTAGCTATGAGATGAAGGTTTTTTCTGAAAAAGTAACTTGTATGGAGATAGAATAGGTAAATGAGGGCAGTACAGGAAGTAAATTATTCCAGGCTTCAGGACCAACACACTCAAAGTCTCTGTGATACATTCATAGTAATAAAGGCGATTGCTATGATTGGGGTTCAGAGATCAAAAGGAATCTGACAACATATGAGGCTAGAAAGATGGGTGTTAGATCATTTGTGGTTATAAATCCAATTAAAGACTTTGTTCTTTATCCTAAGAGCTGAGAAATCCCTGAGAGGGAGTGATGTGGCTCTTGAATTTAGAAAAAAATCACATTGGTTACATACTGTGAAGAGTGAATTAGAAAGGTGGAAGAGTGGATGCAAGTTGCCTATTTACTCTTAAGTGAGGATTG